TAATAATATCAAAATTACTGCTCAATGATCTGGCACTTATGTCACTTTCGCTCCGAAGGCAAATTCTCTCAACCAGTTCTCGCTGTGAAGTGTCTGGATATTCACGTACAGACCCAGCTACTGTTCTGATAACCTCAGAGAGATTGACCAACAGAGTACTGAGTGGAAGAAGTGTCTTCAAGGCTAAATCAAACTTTTTAAAGAAAGATTAATAGCAGCTTAGTTGCTCTAGGGAAGGTAAGCCCTATATATAGGAGACACAACATCGGCATTTCTTCCACATGCTGCCATCAAGAGAGTGCGTTTACTTCAAGGTAATTGGAAAGGTATGAGGAACAAAGCCGTCTGTCTAGAAGGTGCATGCATGATGAGATCCAGTATTTGGAAAGAGTAACGAAGAAATGCTATAACTCCATGGCAGAGAGCCTTCCTCCAGCAACTGATACTTACGGAACCAAGTAACTAATCTTAAAGAATTCATTTTTCTCTCGTGAAGCCGAAGAATTCACAGTCGTGTTCAAACAGCTGTGTAAGTCCACTTCACATCCTCACACTTTACCCCGCCAATACCAATCTAATCCTTGAAAGCCGAAGCTCGCATAAACAATTTCGCATACAAAGTTGAAATTGTGGGTTTGTGTGTTTATTCGCTTATAACTAGAGAAAGGATATACCGATTTAAACCAAATGTGGAATGTTTATTTCTTGAGACCAGAAGGAGATCATAAGAGGGTAAAAACTCTGGGGAGGAGGGGGGGGACTTCCTGAGCTCAATTTCCGCTGAGGGCGTTTCCTGTAGCTCGGATACTAAGCACGACCAAGAACCAAAGTTGTTTGTTTCAAAAATGATAATATAGAAACAAACGCCACAGGTGTAGTGAAGGGGGCGCCTACCCTCTGGGGCCCATTAGAATGAGCTAATCTCAATCAGTACAATTCAATTTTTTTTTTCCTTGCAAATATTCGCAGTAAAAGTTTCTATTATTACTATTAGCCAAAAACTATTCTGCAACAGTTACTAGTTTGTAAAGTTAGGATCATTCTGTGAATAAATCAGATGGGTTTGTTTGCAGAGACAAACACGGTCTAATAATGTTCTTTCTCGAATACTTGAAAAGAAAGAAAAGATGCCCCAGTTAACGTGTGCCCTTCACGGCTGTACCCTAGCATTGCTTTCTTCTCGTTTCTGGACGACGCGGATTATCTTCCTTACTTCACACTCTCTCTACTTCTGAAAAGCGCCAGCTTTTTAGATGAAAACCTTTGAAGTTCACACAGAGCCCGGGGATCGTAGAAATTCCCTTCTCCTAGTACTCAATTTGAAATTAATTACTACGTGCGAACATAACGTTCAATCTGAAGTGCATAAAACACAACACTGTCGTCTCTGAATTAGCCTGTTCCGATAAACTGCATTCACCTCCTGACACGAATTCGCACAATTAAAAGTCACAGCATGTAAGGAGAAGTCATCCGCGTATAACACATACCTCTGCAGATAAATGATTAGATTCGTGCTATGGTCGCCTTTACCCCCGGGAATAATGCTGACTGCACGGAGGAGCTTAACGGACTGAACGCCCAAACAAAAGAAATACGCTGACTGTGCCACGTCAGGTACACAGACTAGGCCCGTCCGTCAGCTTCTCCACCGGCCAAAAACTACTGCGCCGACTATAGTATGGACACAATTATGACGAAGAAGAGAATCCCTGCCTCTACTGGGAATCGAATCCCGTCCGCTACTTTAGTCTACGACACTCAATCTAGTAGACATAAGACATGGATGGGGTTGAAAGAGGACAGGACACCATTTTAACAAATTTTGTTGTTCTTTATATACGATATTAATTACGAACAAGAACCTCGAAGACCGCTGAGCCCACGGTAACTGAATAACCAAAACATGTGGTATAGTGTCAGTAAAATATTTGTGTATCAGTCAGCATCTGCGGGATTCATATTAATTAAAGGTCATCCAGAGAAATCATATTCAATCATAACACCAAATTTACATGACATGCAAAACTAACATAATCGATGATATTAAAAAAAAAAGAACTTGATAAAATACACTACTGTAAATAACAAACAGAGCTCTTAATTTAAGCTTATTTACAAATGATGAATATTTTTAAAAACGGAGGAAGGAACCATTTCTACCCATGCAGTGAAGAGCTTATTTAGAAACTACTCCCTTCGGCGCACTGCAATTCCGTTTGCCATTCCAATTACAGCCACAGACAGTGGCAGACTAGGCGATGGGCGACAGTAATCATGCTGACTGGCTAAGACGGGCGCGTGTGGACGCGCGCGTGCGAGACAGGTGTGCTGCATTGCGGCCTGTTTTTCTGTCCATCATCCGGGTCAAAGAATACAACAGATTAAGCGAACGCTGCTATCAACCAAGCTCACAGCGCTGAGTAAGCTTAAATGTAGACAGAAGGATAATATTAAAAGAGCCCTTAGGAAATATTGTGGGAAGCCTGGACTAGATTCATTTAGCTCAGAATAAAGATCGGTGGCAGTACACTGTGAAAACGGAATTTAATCTTTTGGATTTTATAAAAGGCGAGGAATTTCTTAATTATCTACGCGATTATCAATTATTCAAGAAGGACTCTAAAGCAGGGACTTACTTCAATACAGCCATTGTAATTTTTGCTGTCAATGAAATAAAATTATGGACAGTCCATTTCGGCTTTGTAAATAAAACTACTTACTTGCTAAGACCCAAAATAATTTTCATACGCTTTTCCTTAGCTACGTTGCCATTTATACAGATATCAAAGTCTGAAAGCAATGAGCAATGTGAAAGATGTACTAACAGAAGAGACCCTGCAGGTGATAGATGTTGCTTGTATGCAGACCACATATTCACACGTTGGACACTTGACGCTTATGCAACCTACTTCACGAGAAAATGTACGGTGTCAATAATGCATACAAATAACAGATAGAGAAAAGATATAGGATATACCAACTTTGAAAAGACTATTTCCCACATGTGGCCAAAATTACAAAAGCAATTTCAAAATCTGTCATCACCAAATTATTTGCTTTGCCAAATCATGGGGCATGTGATTGGCAGGACATGAAGCACGCATAGTAACAAATTAATATATTTAAACGTAGAACTTTTAATTGCCAACATTTTAATTGCAATGATTAGATAATTACTTGTTATTGTTCATGTTTGCCTTCAAGTTTATGTTTTAAGCATCTTTACCATAAGAATATTATTAAATTCCTTAAGCAGCGGTACACTTTGTAGTAATATTTGTATACCCTTGATGATGACCCGGCGACTCAAAACATAATGGGTAAAAAATCTCAATAAATAAACACTTCAATGTGTTTTCAAGTAACGCTGGGTTCAAATAGTTCAGAGTAGGTGCCAGTGGCAGGATTATGTTAACACGGTAACTAACTTCGTGTTCCATGAACAGTGGTAAATTCCTTTACCAGGTGAGCGACTGTTACATTCTAAAGAAACTAAATGTTTAACATAAAATTCCCATTCTCATCGTACACACTTCCAGTCGTACAAACCTTGCGTTTTTAATGCTATATTTACGTAACGTAAGTTTATAACCTAATCACGAAATGCAATTTAGCTTAGAAATTAGTTTGCTAATTTTGTAAGAAGTTGGCCATATGATCGAATCCAACACCAGTCAGTTCTTTCTTTACTACTCGCAATAAAAACGTTACAGAATATTATCGTTATCATTACTTTCTTTGGATGAACTACGTAATAAGTTGGCAGCATAAGATCCTAATTTTAAAGGTTCGCATCATCGCCACGTTTGTAACTGTTAACGCATAAACAATACTTCATAGTCATGTGTATGCATGTTTTTATAACATATCTTTATGTAAACTGTCACATTCAAATGATTCGTCAATTAATGGCGTCAAGTTAAAAGCTAAATTAAAACATTCACACTGTCGCCATGTTGTTTTATAGTCTGCCACGAACGTATGGAAGGATACTACACAAGTATCCCTTATGATGGAGGCAAAGATTGTCTCCGAAACGTCTGTAATTACACGTCTGAATACTTGAGACTACCTTTTACATTAAGCAAACGCAATTTCTTCATCCATCTTACCGACGTGTTGATAGTCTTATAAATATCCGGCCGAATCGACTCCACACGCATAAACAATTCGACAAACTGACCAATCGTTAAAACTTACACAATACGCCATCCTCCATGCTTTATAAGCCATTATGGTTGTAGCTAAGGGTACTACAGCGTTATCCAAATCTTTCTTTCTTGTACTGTACAAGTTTTCTAAATCCTTACCAAGACATGAGGTAATATTCCTCGAACAGAAAACCAAACCATTGCAAAGCCTCTCCAAAGTCTTCATTAGTTAATTACTTTTGTCCATCGTGCTACAGATTCATTAGGACTTGGTATCCTCTGTCGTAGTGGTCTTCTAAATCCTTACTAAGACAAACGGTAATATTCCTTCGATGGAGAATCAGTCATCGCAAAACCTCTCCAGTTGGTCTACAGAACGATAAAGAATACGTCGAAAATCTAGGCCCCAATAGATCAGAATAAAGGTTTCTAAAGTTCTTCTGCCATTCTTGAAAAAGCACGGCCTTCAAGAAGGGGAGTTATCACCTTTTGCTATAAAATTTGTTGCCATCCACTTGCTCAAGGACACTGAAGACCTGTCTTTCTGCATTCCGTTTCTTCAAAACTTCCTAGGAAGCACATGACAAGGGTTACCAATCACACACATGTAATATTAGGCCGATGAATGACGTGTTGCTGAAGCACGTGAGTTCCGTTCTGGGTTAGCCCGAGGCAGGAACTTGTTTGGAAATTCAGGTTACATGGAATTGAGAAATGAAAGCTGTTGCTAACCGGCCAGTAGTGGTGGACGCCGTGTCGTCGACGGCGACGCAAGAAATCCCCACCAAGATTTCTCTTGGTGTCTCTCCCTCCCACATCCTCTTCACCACTCTTGAATGTTATGAGCAGAAGTAACAGTAATACATAGCCAGTGTACTGCAGTACTGTAGTGTGGTGCGCTCCAGCTACCTTGAAAAGGTGTTCGCCTACTGCCCTGGATTTCCTTCTGTGGTACCGCTACATTGTGTGACAGTGACTAAGTTATCCCGAGATTTAGCGTGTGGAACAGTGATAAACATTTTGGATTATTTACTGAAGAATAAATCTGTACCTAGTTTGGAGATTACTGTTCACCAGCTTTGCGATGCTACCAAGGTACGAATAAATCATTTAGAATTTCGTCCGTAATGCACAGTCATCGAGGCAGAGGTTTGATAGAAACAACACATAGACTTAATTCAATTCAATTCAATTCCATTATTAGAGTGTTTGCCAACAGCAAAGAGCCTATAACAGGCAAACACTCTCATTGAGGCAGTAAGAATAACAGAAAAACACTGAATATTTCATAAAGAGGTATTAAGGCAGTAAGAATAACAGCAAAACACTGAATATTTCATAAAGAGGTATTTCATAAAGCACACATTTTATCTAATACTCTTGAAGCGATTTTAAGGACTACATAAAAGGTTCTGTCAATATGCTCAAAAGCAAAGGACAATTTAGGTGATCTAATGTAAACGACGCTATACGAGCTGTACAAAACGTGGATTAAAAAGGAGTTTGTAAGAAGATGAACTTGACTGACTCGTGATACGTAAATTTTGGACCTTTTAAGTGTACTCACCCTTTGTGCCCTACCTCGGCAAGGGTCATGACAAAATTTTTCGCAGTGCAAGTGTGTTTGTAAGCCTACCTCATGTTTTGACATAACCATTTCAAAATTAAATGTTTAATAATATTTAAACCTACTTTTAAACCAGACGAGAAGGCGAAATGTCTGGCCAAACGGGCATACATTTCTATTCCCCGACCCCTTCTTACAGAAACCATCTAATTAACAGCTAAAAAGCTGTTACATGCGTATTTCTCGGGATGGAAATAAATCTTACACAGATGTCTGAAAGATCCCGATAGGCAGCGCAATAAATATTCTCATCAGCCAGCAACTGGAGAAACACCGGAAGGCCTAGCAAAGGGGACACTACTCTTCTGCGAGGTATAAACTCGACTCACAAGCGCTTCAATCCAAGGACGTCTGTTTGTATGCGGTGCATAGGACTTTGAATGTCCAATTTTATTGTTCTCCGCTCTGGGCAGTATTTAGACCAAGGGTCAAAGGTCCCTCAAATGACTGGCACACAAAAATTTAGTTAATATTTTGTGTTACGTGCATATTGTTAGCACGATGCTCATTTTTCGAGATGTCACAAACTCCGTTTACGATACGAAGTTCATCTGAAGTAAAATAAATTAACTTCAGCAGACGTTTACAAATTACTAGGTGTAGTAGGTTAACAGAAATAATTGCGTTAACAGAAACAGAGTCTTTCCGTCCTAAAAGCTACTAACAAAAACATCGGATTTGCTTGCAGAAAACATAAATATGGATGTGATGCAATAAATCACAGAGCAACTGTGATGCTAACCTTTCTCGTACGGCAGGCACACATCACTCCGCAATTTAACACAACCTGCACTCTGACAATATTTCGTAAGGCTCACATTTGCTGAAGGGATTGAACAGAATCACCACGCTCTGGATTCAAGATAGTGCAAGATCGCTACTTGTACAAAACAGGCATTTGCAACAACACTGTTCTGTCGGTCTGTACACTCACAAGCACTTAGGCTGGTAGGCATGTAACAGTAACAGAAGTAAATAAAAAAATAAATCACGGAAGGTGCTAAATTAAATGAGAAATCCAATCAGCAAACGGTGTGTGTGTATGTGTCCCCTGGTTCGGACACGAGCATACGTTGTCCCAATTAGAGGAATATTTAGTAATAATTATTCGTAAAACTTGTTATGAACATCACGCCAATTTAATTAGTAACATTTTCGGACATCAAAATCCACTGTCATTAACCATACTAACACGTCAGTCGTTCGAATTTCAGCTGTGGGTACAAACCTAATAATTAGGGCGTAGATGCTAAAGTACGTTTAACGTAATAAAAACTGTTTATCCCTTTACAGCGAGAAGATCAATTAATTAATCATTTAACTGTTACTATCACCCGGAAACACAGCGCATCTCCGTTAGAAAGATCAGTCAGTTAACGTTAATCGTTGTAACGTAAAAGCAGGTGGTACACATAACTGCCACTCCTCTTTAATGTGTTAAGAAAGTGTTTGCTGGAGAACAGCCACGAGTAGTTTCGACTTCGATCCTATTGTGACATGTTTAGATGCACGCTCAGACTGCGGGGTGTGGGGAGGGCAGGACTGGATTGGATTGTCGCGCGTGTCCGTATTATGCAATATGAATGCAGATCATGACGAACGGTTAGATATTCCCAGGATTTCTTACCACAATATTCAAACGTAATATGTCGGTCATTAATCGACATCTGAAGTAATTTTAAATCGTTGACTTGCTCAAGAGACAAACACGAACGAAACGTCTCGAGAAAGTCACCGATATTCTTGGCAAGGTTTGCTTGCATTTCATTCTGAAGAAGGAAATTTGCGTGGATTTATGTCACAACGCTAAGTGGGTAATGTATTCCCTCGTGTTTACAAGATATATTCAACTGAAGTAAAATCCCGTCTAACATAAGGAAAAAAAATATCTTGAAGTGTTACACGATATATACCAAAAGTAATTCTCTGAGCCAATTTCTCTAAGCAAGCGATGAACATATAATGAGGGTATTTGGGAGCATGATAAAGACAAATATTTGGACATTAAAGAGAGGAAGTTATATGAACATATAAACTACAAAATAAACCTCTTCATTAAATATTAAAATGAAATACGCAGGGCACGTAGTACGCATCGGAGTGATGAGAAATTTATGCGAAATTTTAGTCTCGGTCAAAGTCTAACTGCAGGCTCCTGAAAACATTGCAATACACCTTTTGCTACCATAAAATTTCGTGACTATTTGAGCGACTATTAACTTTTCAAGAACGACCACGATCAATGCAGTTCGTTAAAGGACCATCAGTGTTAAATAAGCATTTCTTTAAAATGTTAAGTTTAACGCATTAATTCAATTTTAATCGCCAAGAGATTGTGAGGGATCTTGTTATAACTCAATTTACATATATCTCTGCACCGACCTGCAAAAGGGGAAGACCCCAGAAAAAAATCAATCCGCTATTTGGTTACTCAGATTATTGTCAATCGCCTAGTTACAGAGTTTGTTAGGTAGGTACCTCGACAGTGATTGGCTAGTTACTTAGATAACTAACGAAACAATTATATATTTCCATAGTTTGTTAAGTAGGTAACTTGACAATTACTCGCTGGTTACTTAGTCAATTAATGGAACAATTATCTGATTTCTTAATAATAACGTCCCATGCACTGTGGTTGCCATCGACGACCTACATACAGTTGGTATCGAAGTTCCAGTGACTCGTGGCAGACCTGTATCCCAACAAGTTTCACTCATCCAGACCAGTTCTCGGAAGAACATACGACGCCTACTTTCTTTTGCGTATTTCCATCACAAGCCAGCAGAACCTAAAATTGCTTACATATTTTCGTTCAAAATTTGAGCTAGCATTATAGATATTGGAGTGTTTTTTTCTTTGGTTATGGTTTGGTGTGTTTGTTTAGCAGAGACAAACAAAAGTTTTAATAGGAATTGTAAGGGATATGTAACTTATGAGATTAATTTCAGCCATCAATGAACAAGATTAATTTGCAAAAGTTCTTGAAATTATATATTTGCACATTATAGTTCGAAAAAGGTAATACCTTTCTCATAATTAGAATTTTGTAATATACACATATAGTACTTTATTATCGATACTTTTAACCAACATGTGCAATGTTCTGTTTTCAAATTCCTGCATTCTTATGGGGCAAGGCTGCATATGTTGTTACATATTTATGGCCATGTATAGTTTCGTACTCCCCACCCCACCCCTTTTCGTGAGGCGAAATTTTGTAGTGTGTCATCATGTGTTTCTGACAAATCAGGATCTGCCGCGGGTGAAAAAAGTTTGCGAAACTGCCCTGGAGTACACCTTCCTCTTGCTGCAGTCGTACTGCGCTTTGTATGAAACTTGCTTCAATTACGCCATTAGTTCAGCTCGCTTAACCCCACCACTGCCCCACTGGAACCTTTCACTCTAAAGCACTTTAATATCATCATCGCCTCGGAGAAATCGCCCCAATTCCTGTTAAAATAAAGAAGGGTTTTCGTCTGATATTCCCTTCACTGTAGTTATAACGCAGTTACAGCACGCGTAAGAAAGGTCAAGTTTAATGTGGCTGTTCTATGAAATCTACTCAGCCCATTTACTTATGTTCAGATTATTCTATCTGTATATAAAACACATACTAAAGTAATTTACTTCCTTAGCGCTGCATTCCGGACTGAACATAAGTCTCGTCTGTTAATTCAGATTTCCTGTGGCTCTTTTTAGCTGTTCTTCAAGCTTTAAAGAGAGATGAGAGAGAGAAAACACCACCTTATAAGCCCCTTCCAAGTTTGTCTGTCTGTCTAATGCGATGGGACACATCAGATGGGGACTCAGACCACTTCGGTACGTCGTAAATTAAACAGCAATGTGAGGAAAACCGAATTATATCCTGTATTTCGTCGTTTGATTTTGAACACCCTACATGTATGCATATATAAGTAGAATGCGTATAAACTAGCTCTTGTTCTAACACCTGAATATTGCACTGCGGAATGAGCCAGTACTGCACGTATCAAGGCCGGTCAGTAAACTAAATCTAATTTATACAAATTTCTTATATCCTTCACTGCACTCACCCTCCCCCCCAATCCCGTGCAATATTAATATTCAGTATTACAGTTGTGTGATATTCATTACATAACCGTTATTGCTTGACAAGAACTTGTTAATAGTACTTTATTATCGATACTTTTAACCAACATGTGCAATGTTCTGTTTTCAAATTCCTGCATTCTTATGGGGCAAGGCTGCATATGTTGTTACATATTTATGGCCATGTATAGTTTCGTACTCCCCACCCCACCCCTTTTCGTGAGGCGAAATTTTGTAGTGTGTCATCATGTGTTTCTGACAAATCAGGATCTGCCGCGGGTGAAAAAAGTTTGCGAAACTGCCCTGGAGTACACCTTCCTCTTGCTGCAGTCGTACTGCGCTTTGTATGAAACTTGCTTCAATTACGCCATTAGTTCAGCTCGCTTAACCCCACCACTGC